CAACCACAATGAGGAGTGATCACTGTTGCCTAGCGGCGGGCGTAACAGGGGATCGCGATACCATTCGTGGAGATCGGAGAAGATGAGGTCGAGGGTAGCGTGTAGGCGAGTGGGGCACTGCACTAATTGCACGAGGCCGCAGTTGGTAAGGCAGGGTTCGAGGGGTAGGTCATTAAAGTCGCCAGCTAGGAGGAACTTGTCAGCTGGATGTTCAGTGCGGAGATGGTCATATATTTTGTGACCGATGATGATAGCATTCAGAGAGTCAACTGGATGTTTTGGGTTCGGTTGTGTAGTAGTAGCACATCTGACTGACAATCAGAATTTCCGGGGTCAATTCCCGGCCATTTCTTGTCTTACGTTTGGCTTTTTGCCTTCTATGTCCCGTTACTCATTCCCCCCTCCATAACACTATTTTTACTTTTACCGAGACGATTAGTTCACGGAAAATGCTAAATTTTAGATCCATGCCCTGGAGGCATATTATTATGAGCCAACGTTTTCAAGTATTTTTTGTCATGGTGTATTAAGCTAGCGTGGAAATATGAAACTTGATGAATCCCTATTGGGATCCCTATTGGGATGCTGCAGAAAACTTCAAACTTTGGAAATAAATGCCCTGGGGGCAGACTTTTCAAAGGGAGATGTTTTCAATTGATTTTTTGCATCAGTAAAACTGATGAACATGGAAAGCTGAATCTTTGCAAGCATATGTGACTACTGAGCTAAGTTGTTACATAAAAATGTTAAGTCTCGATAAATCCCTTGTGGGAATTTTTTCAAGGTGCGATATTTTTAAAAATAAATTGTCCTGGCGAATTGGATAGAAATGGAAAGGTGAAACTTGGCACACGTATAAGTGACATGATATTCCTGAGCTGAGGGAGTATTCAGCTTTCATGGTGAATCCCCTCCGGGCATAGCGTTAGGGTAGATTGACTTTTCCAAACATGTTTTTTCACCAGCGAAAAGGGCAAACGTATAATATTGAAACGTTGTGGCCGTGTAGTTCACTAAGGATGGGTTTCCTTTCAGAAAAAAAATGGTACGTTTCGGTTAAAATGGCTCAGGGCACTTATTTTGCAGAATACATATTTTCACGAATTTTCTGATCCATCAAAACAGAGGGCGCATGAAAGTTAAAAAAAAACTTGGCAAATGAGTAACTAATTCAAGAAGGGGAAATGCATAAGCCTGAATCTTGTTGGTGTGGAGTTCCCTGAGTTGCCATTTCCGAAGAAAAAACATTTTTCGCTGAAACCCATCAGGGCTCTTTTTATTAAGTCCCATTTTCCTGATTAATTTTTTGATCCAACGAAACAGATACAGAAAATTTAATCTTTCCTCAGATGTTCCTGTTTAATGGTTGAGTACGGGAAAAATCCTACTTTTGAAATATATCTCATTAGCGTAGATTATTGGAGGGAAGTACAGTATTTCAAAATGAATTCTCCTCCCTTACAAAAAGGAACTCATGAAAAGATTTCAAGTTAGGCACACTTGAAATCAGAGAAGTAATGATTTTGATTAAAAAATCAAGACTTTCGACCCCATATGTCACGTATTTCAATGGGGACGAATTTTAATACGAGTTTCCCATTTCGCTAACAATGAATGAATTAATCACTATCCGAGGTAATCGAGGGAAGAAGGCGCGACCAAAGCGAGTTTGTTTGCCCGAAGGTCAAGCAAACTCGCTTGTCTAATATATACAGGGTGGGCCAAAAAAAAGTGAACCATTTTGGAAAGATCATTTCTCCCAAGCATTTGGCCAAAACTTAAAAATGATGATATCACTGTGTAGGCCATTCAATTCTCCACAAAAAATGATATAATATTATTTGCCACAAAACAATTTGTTCTCACACAAAATGCACTTGCATGAAAAGAGTGAAACATAAAAATCTTCCATAGACGCTGCACAACCACTCCTAATGCACCTGCTTTGCNCTCACTCTGACTGGTACCAGGACGATCTTCTTGGCTTAAAATTCGTTCTTCAACTGCTGCAATGTTTTCAGCTGTCCTCACAGTTTTGGGACGACCACTTCCAGGCTTTCGTTCACAGCTGCCTGTGTCCCGAAGTTTTCTCAAGAATTTTGCCACCGTCGTTTTCTTCCACTGACGTTCTGGATCAAACTCCAGAATCTTGTTAAGAGAAAAATTCTTCTTTCGAAGTGCACGAATGACACTCTTATCATCCTCACTCAGCTTTTGATAAACACCCATGGCTCTGGAATGAAAAAAAATCATGAAGCATGGACCAGTTGCAGACACTGAAGAGAAAGGATGACCAAAAATCGCAGCATATCACAGTTGCACAGAAAGACAGATGGTAGCTCCCAGCTTAAGTCTGTTTCCCACAACAGTACCAAGTCAACTAGCCACTTGCTGGTGGACGCACTCCCTTCCTGCCGGGGAATGAGAAAGAGGCACACGTGGCGCGTGCACAGGATGCTGGAGCGGTGAAAACCCATTTGCCTCTAATTGCATTCAAACACATTTTGATGCCAAACTAAGGACGGAAGAACAGTTAAGATTTAATTCTTTTTTGTGCAGAATTGAGCTAGCTGCATTTTGAGTGCTTCAAAAAAGTAAAAAGAGCAATTTTGAGTAACATAGCACCCCCTGAAGGGAGGTTCACTTTTTTTTGGCCCACCCTGTATAGACGATCGTGACTGCCTGACTGACTGAAGCTTCTAACCATGTTCTAGAGGAGTTAGAAATCTGAAACTTGGTACACATGTACCTTTTGGGATGCAGAGTTCAGAAAAATTCCGACTTTGGAGGTACATGCCCTGGGAGTACACATTTTGGGGGGAGAAGTTTTGAAAGATATACATTGTGACGCATTACGATGGCATCGAGTGGGTTTGACAATATATCGTGGGTTCGATGGTGTAGTGGTAGCACCCCTAACCGGCAATCAGGAGGGCCAGGTTCAATTCCTAACCTGTTCCTTGGCTTTCTTTCGCCCTCTTAGTTCTTCCAAGTTGTGTGACTCATTCCACGGCGTAACAATACTTTTGCTTTAGTAAAGCGGAGAGACATGGAAAGCTAAAAATTGGCATGGACATGCCTACGGAGACGATGAGTTCAGGAAAAATGCAAAATTTTCGATTCATGCCTTGTGGGTGCATATTTATGGGGGCCAACTTTTTGAAGTCATTTTTTACCCTGGCATTTTACCCTAGCTTGTGTGGAAAGATGAAACTTGGTACATAACTACCTATTGGGATACTGCGTGCAGAAAAATGCAGACTTTGGAAGTAAATGCCCTGGGGGAACAATTTTCAAAGAGATATGTTTTCAATTTTTTTTTTGATCAGTTAAACTGATGAACATGGAAAGCTGAAATTTTGCATGAATGTGACTACTGAGAGGAGTTAAAGAAAAGTTTAGGAATATGGATATGTCAAGGTGAAACCTGCCACACGTATGAGTATTACAGAGTTGAGAGTATTTAGCTTTCATGGTGCATCCACCCCGGGCGTAGCTTTTGGATGAGTTTTTCCAAACTCGTTTTTTTTCACCAGCGAAAATGAAAAAAGTATAAGGTTGAAACTTTTTGGGCATGTAGTTCTCTGATTCATTTCGCTAAGAAAAAGATACTTTTTGGTTAAAACGACTCAAGGCACATACAGGTATATTGCAAAGGGTGTATTTTCTCGAATTTCTGATCCAGCAAAACATAGGACGCAGAAAGTTTTAATCATGAATGAATGAATGTTGAATCATAACTCATATTTTTTTTAGCAAGTAAAGGGCATTCGTGTCTCGGTTTCTCATTATTCTTTACTGTTAGGTAACTTCGCTTTATTGGGGCAAAAACGACCTGGAACCAACGTGTCAAAATAAAGCGGAATCCACTGTATATAGTACTAGGTTCAAAAAGTTCCGAGACTCGGGTCACCGTGACCGAGCGCTGCGTTGAATAGCAACATACATTTTGCTGAACGTAGTTTGGGTTCCACACAAAGTGCATATTAAGGGCATAAGTGCTTAACCTTCCGTGGCAATGACTGGGTTGCGCCACGTACAAATCTTCAGTTGTCAGTCGGCGGTCTGCATTCACCCTGTGAATTGGTTACGTTTTGAAAAAAGCGTGCTAATGTGAAATGTTGTCATAGATTGTTCAAAACAGTTGCAGAGACCTTTTGAAATGCTGAGACAGGCGTATGGGGACAAGATAATCTCACGTCCTCGATTGTTTGAATGGCATCGAGAATTCCAAGAAGGTCGAGATTCGCTGTAAGGTGATGTTGGAGGTGTCCTTCGACAACGAGGGTATTGTCCATCACGAGTTCATTCCAGAGAGAAAAACGGTGAATAGAGACGTACGTAGATGTGCTGCGTCGTCTTAGAGATGCAGTCCGGAGGAAACGACCACCGATGTGTGCAATCAAGAATTGAACCCACCTTTTCAAGAACGCACCAGCGCACAGATCACTGTTGGTGAGCTGTTTCTTGACAGACACTGGCATAGTCTTACTACCACATCCCCCTACTCCCAGGACCTTTCACCATACGACTTTTACCTTTTCTCAAGAATGAAGAAGCCCATGAACGGATGCCGTTTTCCCTCCGCAAAAGAGGTGAAGGAAGTTACGATTGCGGCACTGAATGGGGTCGTTAAAAATGGGTTCCAGTTCTGTTTCGAGGAACTTTACAAATGTTGCCAAAAGTGTGCAGGAAGCCAGGGCTATTACGATTTTGCGATCTTGATTAAATTTGGTACAGAAGCTCATAATAGCATTCTATGATATTGATTAGAATTTCAAGTGTGTGGGTTATGGAGAAACCATCTAAATTAATCGAATTTCAATGCTCTGGGTCATACCAATCGGCAATTAAAACATGTACTAGCGACATGCCGCCGCTACGCTGGCCGGTGAAAGTTTGAATCGTCTATTGTCAGCATAACGTCTCCTTGACAATCCTCTGTTCGTCGCATTACCCATTCAGAACTGAATCGCTTCATATATTAATACACATATAGCATACAGGACACTGGGAGATTCTGTTCCTAAACACCATCATCATGATATACCAGCTGATTGACACAATCGCCATTGTGAACGCCTCGGTTTAGTAGGTTTTCATGAGACTCAAGACGACTTCGCTGATTTCGCTTCCTAGCACATTCAATACTCTTGTATCAACGATTAGCTCATGGGCTATTAGCGCTAGCGTATGGTACAGACATCAATGATTCTCAAACAGTACGGACCATATCCAAGAACTTGTTCGACGGCAAAGAGGGAAGTTAGTGCATGTGCGGCACAATGCTAGCGACTAATTCCTGAAAATGCATCGCAGCCGGATTAGCACCAGTGAGCAACAATTTCAGAGCCTCAGGGTAAAGAGTGAGTTGCAGCAGGAGCATTTTTCCGTTGTGCCAGCAATGTGAAACAAATGGCACCTCCCTGCATCAAAATGTACAGCCTGACGGTGCTCGCTGCGGGAAACGACTGTAGTGATTGAAATGACATGGAGAAGCATGACAAAATGTCCCGAGTTCCGTGGTGTAATGGTAGCACACCTGACCGGGAGCAGGATGGGCCGGGTTCGAGTCCCGGCCGCCCCCGGCTTTCGACACCTGAGTGCTGCGTTCCTTACATCAAGTTGTCCAGCAGGCTGCATGGCTCTCCTATTCCTGTGCTCAGCATTCGCTGCCTCTTACTTTTCAGCGGTCTGAGCACCCTTATGCTCCCTACGTGCAACTGGGTACTGTTTATTACTCTTTCTAGCCATTATGGCTAGCACCTCCTAAAGCACCGATTTAGGCACTTCGCACCGCAACTGCCGTGGCAAACGTTGTTTCTGCGCCAGCACCAATCTGCAGCGACTGCCTCATAGTCGTCCTGTCGGACCTCTTTCAATATTTTTTTTCACGTTCAACCTCACCTCGCAAATATCTCCACCATTTTCATGGGAAGAGTGGCCCGTTTGCGAGACGTATGAAACAAAGAACTTACGTTATTATTTCGATTTCATCAATCATGAGAACTCAAATAAATCGGCTATGACATGAAACGCAAACGGAAAACTATTGCATGGAAGCGATGGCCCGAACCGCCACGCCTGACCCAACGGAAAAAAAGAATGTATTCAAATGGAGAACTTGCAGTCGATCAGTGGATGGTGATTCCGTGTCTCGTTTTCAGTTATGGGCACCCTTTGATTGACACAGCTAAGTATGCAGCCTATGGAAATAATAGGATGAGCCACAGCCTATGGCTCAGACTGATTCAGGTCGATGGACCTGGCTCTTTGAGGGGTGGATGGCCTAGCGTATGGCCTGATGTGACAGTCTCGTAGGCCTTGCGCATTGCGGTGACAACCAACACCACCACTCTCGGGCTCTTGTAGTTAAAGTATAAGATGGCCTGGAAAGGCATAGCCTTGTAGGCATGGCGCTTTATGTCGTGGAAGGCCTGGCTTATGACCCAGAATGGCATAGAATTGTAGGCCCGCGCGTTGGGAGTGATGGTCACGACCACCACCACAACTTTTCACCTCTTCGTATTAAAGTATTAGATGCTATGGTGTTTCATCCATAGTGTAATTTTTATGCAGGTATCAGCTTCATGCATCAGGCTGATGCATGTACCAAGTTGATGTACGATCAGTTACCCTACCCTACATAGAGAAACGGTTTGAGGGAAAGAAGAAAGGAAGCTTTAGCCTTCAATGGCGCTATCCTTCTCTCCAATTCGTCATGCATTTTTCAAGTTTTCCTCGAATTACTCGATCTCACTATCTCGAAAATTTGCCCGACTTTTCTGCTCATACTGCAATACCTCCCATAGCGCTACCCCATATAGCGTTGTTTTGTTATAGTGCTCATGATCCTGGAGAGAACATTTTCTATTGAAAACCAAAAAAAATGGAAGAATCCAAAAAATATAAGTCAAACGTTGAGTCAGAATATTCAGAGCTTCATTCGCATCTCCATATATACATTGGTAAAATGACCCATCCTAGCACCGCTTCAGTTCAGCGCTCTCTTTTCCAGTAACGCATCCTCAGCGCTGGGCGGGGCATTACTGCATTTAGGAATTTTCCTATAAGGTTTGGGAAGTAATAACTATATAGGTAACCGTTTCGGGAGATTAGTATGACCCCATAGCCGCTATTGAAATTTGATTAGTGTGTTTTCTCCATTAATAATTATATCACACATTAAAAATTCTAATCAATTTCATAATGTGCTAGTATGAGCGTGTGTAGCAAATTTAAACAAGATCGCTCTATTCCATCTTGGTGATGCTTTTTTGGCGATGAGTATATTTATTACTAGCGAGTTTGTTTGCCCTTCGGGCAAACAAACTCGCTATGGTCGCGCCTTCGACGCTCTAT